ATGTAAGGGTACAGGGGGCGCCGTAGACGCGCTCCACAAATTGTTTAGTCCTTATTTTGTGTCTACTGTTGCGATCATAGTGATTTGTGCAACATTTATCTTTTTTGTGATTTTTTGTTTTGGTGATTGCTTGTTATTTTTGTTCTACATAAAAAAAGGTAAGTGCAGTTACATATTATGTTAAACTTCGGTTAGCTTTTTAATTCAGAAAAGCGACGATTTGAGCATAATTACTCGAAAAATAATTTTTTACAGTTTTAAAGGTTCTTAGATGCATCAACTGGCATAGAATAAATATACTGAAGAAAATGAGGACGAAAGTGATCACGAATGTTTAGCTCATACGATAATGATTCTCAGAAAGTGATATAGATTCTGAAATGAAAGTAAGAATGATATAAATTGCTTTGATGGAAAAAAAATTACCGGAAACGATTTAAAAAAAAAAAAAAAAAAAAAAGAAGAAAGAAAAAGATTTTACCCAGCGAAAACTCACCAAAAAATGAAAACGCACTGCACAGAATGTGAAAAATATTTGTATGTGGAAAATACAAAACAATTTGTACAAAGTACTGCTAACATTTCTTGTTGCATTTTTTTCTCGGTGTCTATAGTGCTAATAAAGAAAATAAAGAATCGATGTTGCATAATCAACAGAGATAATAAAGAAAGTATGGATAGACTCAGAGATAAAGTATTTTTAATATGTAATGTAAATTTCTATTCTTTTAAGAAATTTTATTTCATAAAAGCATTTGTAGAAATTAAAAATTTTAAAAAGCATATTTTTCATGTTTGATCCTAAAATTTACTATTGGCACAAATGTAACACGTTTTCTGAAGATTTACAATTTTTTCTTGAAAAAACCCGAATCGGATGAGCTTGCGTGCTCGGGGTTAACATAATATGAAACTGCACTTACCTTTATTTTGTGAAGGAAAACAATAACAAGAAGCAATAATTAAAAAAAAAAAAAAAGAGAGAGAGAGAGAGAGAAATGTCGCACAAATTACTACGATTGCAACAGTAGACGCAAAATAAGATACGAATATGAAGTTTTGAGGCTCGAGGCAACTTCTTTATTTGAAGATAAGATTGAAGAAATCATAATGGTTTGAATTATAGAAACTTTTTGAGGCACATCTGTACACAAGACAAACCTTCAATTTTACAATTCTAATATGCAAGAGTAAGTTTAATACAAATCTCATCAAGTAAAAGATTCCCAAGTTTTTCATGATTTTGTACTTGTGAAGATTTATGAGATAAATACTTTGCATTTAACCTTGTTGTCAGGGGTTAAATGCAAAGTATTCGTCTCTTAAGTACCCAACATTTAATATTAACTTTTTAAAGTAGGAAGGATGCCGTAAAATCAAGGACGAGCTTTCTCGTATTCGAGAATAACATGTAGTGTTATAAAATTAACATGCAGAGCGATGGCTAATTAAATTCTGTACTTTATTAACAAAAAAAAAAAAAAAAAAAAAAAAAAAAAAAAGAAAAGAAAGAGAGAACTTACGTACGTTTTACTGTTTACATGACAAATTTTAGACTGACTAAAATAACAGTGATGCCAGATGCATAAAACATAATAAAACAATAAAACAATGATGCCACTGAAACTGCACATAATATTAATTAAATGCTCGATTCTCAACAGCCTCCTTCGAGCATGAAAATAGTCATTGTTCATATAGATTAACCCTTTACTTATTGACTGTTTTTACACCAATAAAATTCTTCTGGAAAATGAAACTGAGGTGCTGGAAGCGCCTACTTCGTCAGAATGTCTGCTTGTTGTTCTTTACTTCTGACATAGCCTAATTGAGAAACGTCCCTTCGAGAACTCATCTTGCACAAACTTGTACCTTTGCTTTCTGCGTGCTTTGAACATTGGATTTTTGATGTGCTTGATAGTACTCTGATTATCAATTTGTAGGATAGGCAATGAGACATTATTAGCTATCTCACTGAATAAGCTCTTCAACCATATCATCAGGTCTTCTGTAGCATCAGTTGCTGCCATGAACTCTGCCTCTGTTGTTGAATTGGATATGGCCTCCTGTAGCTTGCTTCGCCACGTAATTGCACCTCCACCATAGAAAGAAATAACACCTGTTCGAGACCTGCGTGTTTCTGCACAGCTGTTGTTATCTGCATCACTAAACAACATCAAACTTCTATCATCTTCATTATTGTACACAATGCCGTGTCCTATGGTATTGCGAAGGTACCTTAATGTTGTCTGTACGATTTCCCAATCAATCTCTGTAGGATTGTTCAGCTTTCGAGACATTAAACTCACTGGGTAAGCAATATCCGGTCGGGTCCCCATAGCCAAGTACAGCAAACTTCCAACTACTGATCGGTATGGAATTTGACTGCTGAGAGGCTTTGCCTCCTTGATCTTGATCATGCCATCGTCATTCGGTTGACCATAGTCACCCTTGAGACTCGACTTCTTTATTGGGATGTGTGATGTCTTAGCATCTCCAAATCGTTCTAATACCTATCTTGTAAATGTTTCTTGGTGCAGGAAGAGTGAGCCGTCTTTCAAACGTTCAACTTATAAACCAAGGAAACAATTTAACGTCGTTACTCGAATGTTAAAATGTTGCTTGAGCTCGTGCATAAATGTGAAGAATGCTGCTTTGTCCTGAACAGCGACAATGCGATCATCAACATAAATCGCCATTAGCATCTTATGTCCATAATCATTTCGTATGAACAGGCAGTTGTCAGATTTACTTTGTATCATACCCTGTTTATTCAGCACAACAGTAAACTTGGCATTCCAACATTGTCCAGCTTGTTTCAAGCCATATAAAGGTCAAAGCATCTTGCATACATGCTTACTTCCATCGTTATAGCTTTCGGGTTGATACATGTAGATCTCCTCAGTTAGGTCACCGTAAAGGAATGCTGTCTCCACGTCAATTTGATATAAGTTGAGATTCTCCTTGGCTGCTGTTGCAATTAGAGCTTGAATAGTGTTATAGCGACACACCAGGCTAAATGTGTCTTCGTAGTCGATATTCACCGTCTGGGTGTACCCTTTTGCTACTAAACGGGCCTTGAATCTCTCGATTGAGCCATCGGGATTTGTCTTCACTCTGTAAACCCAGCGATTGTCGAGGATTTTACATCTGTTAGGTGGCTCAACAAGTTGCCATGTTCCATGTTTGGCATGCGAAGCCATTTCTTCGTCCATGGCTCATTTCCAGTTGGCGTATTCAGGAGACTTCGTTGCTTCATCATATGTTTTAGGCTCTTCCAACTTAAGAATGCTGTTATACACGTCGTAGTCATTAAATCTGACAGGCCGTTGGATAGTTGAACGGTCTCACAATGTACGCGCGGTCATCTGTGTTGGTTCATCTTCATCAGTGCCCAGATCACCAGCCCCCTGTGTATCTGCACCTTCGTGTGCATCTTCCAAAATAAACTTCGGACCCCTTGATAGACCGGTGTTAGATGCTAATTTTAAAGGTTGGGAAGTAGAGCCGTTCTGCTGCTCATTGAACATTACATTGGCACTTTTTATCGTACGATTCCTTGATGGTATGAAAATGCGATACCCATCGTCATCACAATAACCAACCAAATAGCCCTTTATAGTCTTGTCATCTACTTTACCTCCATTGACATTTGGTACATGTACAAATGCAGCTGATCCAAAAACTCAAATTCTGTTGATTACCGGCTTGCATCCAAACCATTCCTCAAACGGAGATTTTCTCACAGCCTTACTTGGTCCCGTACGATTGAGAATGTAGACAGCTGTAGATGCTGCTTCTGCCCATAGGAACTGTGGTAAGCCTGAATCCTTGATCATAGTGTGAACTGCATTCATTATTGTACGATTCTCCCTTTCAACTAATCCGTTTTGTTCTGGTGTTATATGGCATAATGATTCGCAGCTTGATGCCTGTATCATCAGTTAGTTACACAAATTTATCACTGCCAAATTCACGACCATCATCTGAGACCAGTTCTTTTACATTTATACCATTTTTGTTGGTCTGAATAAGAAACTGCTTGATTTTACCCACAGTCTCATCTTTATGTCTCAGAAATTCTACATGTCGAAACTTAAAGTAATCGTCCTTAATCACATGTACTTCTTTCCACCTCTTGATAAGAGTGGCAATTCGAGTAAGTCTACATGTATTATCTCACCAGACTTTTGTGTTTTGAATTGTTTTGGTTTAAATGTTCGTCGACTTTGTTTACCATATGAACATGGCTCACAAAATAGTCCATCGTCAATAAAATCTATACCATTTTGGCGCAAGTTCTGTTTCACGTACTGTATTCCTTGATGCCCAAGTCGCCGATGCCAAAGTGATAATGGCAATTTTGTAGTCGTCATTTCGTTGTCAACCAACTAGCAGAGCCCCCTGGTGGCTTGACTGGTTTTGCACGTAGTTCAAAGAGTCCATTTGATGAACATGGGGCTTCTAAAAGTATATTATCTGGGGTCTGCTTGCAAAAGAAACGACAAGTCATATCGTCTGAATCACCAAAGTTTGAGATTCCTCGCTTCATTGCCTTTGAGGCCGATAACAAATTTTTGCCAATTTCTGGGGCGTACAGTACATCAGTCAGCTCAATAGATTTTTGTACGTTTCCAACCATTGCGCACATGTCAATGTCCCCACAGCCATATGCTGGTATTGTCTGTTTGTTACCGACTGTGATTTCTGCTTGTTTGTCAGTGACGGTACGTCTTGAAATACTCGGCTGAATTTGTAATGTGTGTGGTAGCTCCATCGTCTTTAAGCCACACATTTCGACCACAATCATCTTCTTGACAAGAAAACGCACTGCATTGAGTATTTGCAAAGAAGGTTTCTGTTTTGCTGTCGTGGTTGGCATGTCAGGGAAAACTGGGCAAAATTTACCAATGTGCCCGGGTTTATTACAACGAAAACAGATGCCATTGAAACCTTTCATGCCATCACTGGTCTTACTAAGTTTGTTCATCGTTTTGGCATTATTTGTTGTCAAGTGGTTGGGATTGGCTGACCATCTGAGGTTTCTTACCACCCTTCTTCCATTTCTTTCCACTATGTTTTGCGCTATAATTAGCATTTGCCACAAATGTTATCGTACTTTCGTTTCTAAGCTCTTGATTTCTTCTTTGCAGCCGCATGTTGATCTGTTCGATCAGTTTTTCAGGTGACTTTTCCGTCTTTGGCATTGAGTCCCACTGTGATTTGAACTCTATATATTCGTCATCAGGAAGAATAGATAAGATTCGCGGTGCTAACAGGTTCTGCGGCAACTTTCCTTCACCGCTCAACTTTTGCTCACGTTGAAGATCCACCCACAGTGTACGTAAACGTGCAAGTGATTGCATTACACTTTCATCTTTCTCGATCCAAAAAGTGAAAAACTGTTGCAGAAGAGTGTCCAATTTCACGCTTGACACCTTCTCAAAATTACTTAATAACTCATTCCATATCGCTAGTGCAGAATTACCATGCATACGGATAAAATTTAACACATTCGGTGATACATTTGTGCAAATGATCACAGCAGCTTTCCCATTCGCCTTTGCGGCTTCGTTGTACTTGCGTATTTTTTCATTCGCGCTTTCTGCCAGACTTTTGGCTCGATAAGGGAATTATCGAAGATGCCCGCACAATCGTTGAGCACAAATAAAGAGTTTATTTCAAATTTCTAAACAGTCCAGTTGGAATTTGGTACACTGAACAAAATTTTTAGCTTCCATATTACATCGTTATTAACCAGGAAATATGCAGCAAAAATAAAAGGCTATCAGTACACGGTAGCGTCTACCTACACACTTTTCGGGTGGAAGTGTTGAAATCAAAAGTAAAAAAAATCCGTGATCCAAATACGTCAACATAGCCATCGTTAATTTATTTACACAGTTAAACGTCGCTAAAACCCATAACCTGTTATAAAATTAACATGCAGAGTGATGGGTAATTAAATTTTGTACTTTATTAACAAAAAAAAAAAAAAAAAAAAAAAAAGTAGTTATGCCAGATGCATAAAAGATAATAACACAATAAAACAATGATGCCACTGAAACTGCACATAATATTAATTAAATGCACGATTCTCAACATGTAGGATTGCTGTAAAATAATGTGCAAGTTCATGTCATCATTTCAGCTGTGTAGGTTAGGCATTTTGCTTTCAATAATGAAATTTCTTCCCTAAAAAAAATTAATCGGTATATCATAATCTGTTTTGATGTATTTTCAGAACACTTCTGAAGAGTTTCAGCTACCAAATCCAGCATTTCTTCGACTAACTGTACAAATGATTTCAAAGGTTTTCAAATTGTGGCCATTTATTACATTGTAGATCTTTTTCCAAAAGCCATTCAAACGTATTTGCCATGTTTAAACCTTCACAAAAAACTAACAGTTAAATATGTTAGTAAACTGTTAGTTAACTAACAGTTAAATCATGCTTGACTTTAAATGACACATTCACTGCAGAGCACTCTTCCATCTCAATACACAAAAAAAGTATATAATCAGATGCTTTCATTATTGCCTATGTATCTGATAATTTATTGCAGTAAAGTTTCAAAAATTCTGGAAAGGAGACAATGTTGTCTGCAGCACACAATTTTTTTTAAATTAATTTCACTCTGTTCCTTTATTTCTCTTAGCCTGTCTTCTGGTGTCTTTCGTTTTTGTGGTAAAGAGCAAGATAAATATTTCGATTGACCGTAAAAAATAGTCGGATATGTATCTTTTGATAAAACTGGCACTTTTCTTTGATGTGTTAATACTGTCCCATCAGGTCGTGTTGCTTTATCGTCTCTTAGGCTAAATGTTCATCAAAATGAATACACAAGCATACGATCCTGGTACAAAGTCTTTCCTATTAATTTTACTTATCTATATTTTACATAGTAGTTCATCTTTGGGAAACTTAAAAGTTGTAATATGCTGTTCATGTGCATAGCAATTTGACTTGCATTCCGGAACGCTATATTTTGCGGCATCTGTACAAATTCAATTAACACTGCATTATTCACCTTAATTAAATAACTAAAGGAAAGGGAATTACAGTGAATTATTTAATGCTATATAATTAATACGCTGTAGACTATAATTATTAATACACACCTATTTAAGCTTAGTAAATTTACAAAATATATGCAAAGCTCGAGTTCAGTATTTTTTAACTTTCAAGAATTTGTTTTAATTTAGAATTTTAATTCTTGTTTAATTTAGAAGAGAAATTATTCTAATAAAGCATTACAAGATTTGCGTTTGATACATAGTTTGAAAAGGAAAGATTTACTGGATTGTTATAAATATTTAACATGAGTATTATGGCATATGTTAATAAATACGTATTAGAACATGAATAAAAATGGGGGGGGATTTCTTTAGCTTGCATTTATCATAAAAGTGTTTGTTTTGTATCACAAACTAAATTTAAGAAGTACAGGTCAAACAGAATTAACTAAAGGAAAACATTAAAGTGAGCTAGTAAATAAACTTAACTCGCATCTTGCTAAAAGTTAAATTTACTATGGTTAAGGAATAGCTAATGCTGCATATTTTGCAGCTAAATCGTATGCTCTGTTTACACTCATACTGTTTGAAGATGGCCTTAGTACGATTGCCCTCGCTCGTGACATCACATCAGGGAAGAACCTCTTTGGATTCGGCCTTCTCCCATCAAGATGGCATTGGTTAAACGCCCCAACCCCTAGAGGCAATTCAAAAGGCTGCTAACCTGTCGGTCAAGCCGACGAGCTACGACTAATCCGAGTCGACAGGAATATTCAGCAACTCACATTCCATGTCTTCGTCCTGGAGGGATGGTAAAACATCTGCCATCAAAAGGGGGCCACGACCGCGGACAGCAGAACGAGTCACGGTTAGAGTTGACTTTAAGGTACCCCTCGTATTATCGCGAAGTTGTTGTTTCATTTATCACCAAGTTGTTGTTTCGTTTATCGTCAAGTTGTATCATTAATGGTAACCTGAGTAGTTGAATGTTATGGAAACCCTATACAGTCAAAAGTCGTTAATTTGGACACCCATATCCGGAATGATCTATAATCCGGACCTCAAAGCTAAAAAGCTGTGTTGACACATGCGCATAGGCGTTTACGCGTGCGCGTAAGACCTTTTACCACTGCGCATATGCCTGTGCGCAAGCGCAGAATACGTTTTCGCGTGCGCGTTTTATGTATAACGGACGGTATAATCTAAAATTATCTAATTATCTATTTCAGTTAATGTTGATGATTGCGTTGTTCCTTAATCTTCGAATTGGATCTGGCTTATTATTTTTTGCAGACTGTAAGAGCAATTTTATAAAAGTAAACTTGAACTTTCGATTATGTCAAATAGAATTTCCGATTCTGGAGCTCCCAAAGGATCGTACAAAACGAAAGTATGTTTCAATGTCCATCAAACAAAAAGTGGAATTGCTGCAAAAAATGGATAAAGACATGAAGAATGTGACAGAGAGGTTAGTGAAAACGAAAAAATTTCGATTGACAAGTTAGTCGGTATTCTCGGCACAACAATTAACGGGACTTGAACAGTGGAACTTTGTAACTGAACAAGAAATTGTGTCTGTTTATAGAATTAAAGAGAAAGTATTAACACATAAAACGAAGCAACTTAAAACAACTTACATTGAAAGAAATGTTTAATAAAGTAAACAAATAAATATTAAGCTTTTTTTTTTTTTTTTTTTTTTTTTTTTTTTTTGTAAATTTTGATACCCTTTAGATTATAATTGTTCTTTATTTCATAAATTAAGGTTTCATATTTTTAATTTTAGAATTTCTGCGTGCCATCTTACGAGATTTAAACTGATGATCTATAATCCGGAAAAATCGATAATCCGGAATCGCCGAAGTCCCGACGAGTCCGGATTAACGACTTTTGACTGTAGTTACGTAATTATTTGCATTATTCTGGGAAATTTTGAATCATGGGATAGTTTGCAAGGGCTTTTGTGGTGTGTGTTGCTTAGGAAGTACACTGCTTGTTTCATTGCTTAGACGGTACAATGGCTGAATGTAGTAGGATTGATTTGATGTTTCTGTACGATTTGGAACGAAAGGGGAAAAGTGCAATAATTGACTGGTGTGTAAATGAAGGTTTACTTAGTAGCCATAGTCCGGAACTATGTAGTATATTTTTTACTCTTATTTTTGTGAATTTCTGTGGCGAGACCGATATATGGATTGTAGTTCAGATAATTTTAGGAAGTTTTTGGATGCTGTTAAGGAATTTTGTGTGCCACAGACTGAAGACAAACAAATTTCTAAATAAGGTAAGGAGATATTTGCTTTGTGTAGTGCTAAAATACATAACAGGTTTTTCCTTTTTTTGTGTTATTTTATTGTTTTGTTTAAAATGTAGTTTATTGAGATAATGCATTTTTTGTTTGCCTCTACTGTAGAATTGGGTGCTCCTTTGACTTTTTAAGTGAAAATATATCGATGCGTACATGGACAACTCAAGGGAGTGCATAAAGCATAGTTTGTGCAATTCTCTGATGTCTTTTAAAGTGAAAATAGGTCGATGTGTACATGGATAAAGTCAAGGGAGTGCACAATGCCATTTTTATGCAGTTTGGAGATTTTTTTCTTAAATTAAAATAGGTCTATGTGTACATGGATACTGAATTTGTGCAATTCTTTGACCTTGTTCTTTTGGCATGAGCAATTTTTGTGCCGAAAATCGCCGCTATGGAGGCCAAAATAAGTCAAAGAATTGCCCAAACTCGGTATCCATGTACCACCAAAAATCGCCAAGAGGTACCCTAAAATATACTTTTATCGAAGTCACTTAAACACTGTCAGACAGACCGGACAACCAATGTGGCTGGCTAACACTACATTATCGTATACAGAAGTTGGCTTTAGGCGCCCCCAGGCAGAAACCAAGGAAGGATATGAATATGCAGTTTTGAGGCTCCAGGCGCGCACTGGAAACCTCAAGCAGTTTAAAGGTTCGCTGAATTCGCCAACTCTATTGACAGGGGTGTTTTGTCCTGGACAACCATGAATATGTGCTGAACGGACAAGAAAGTACCATATGGTCCCTGTCGAGCCTGAAACAGCCATCGCCAGCGATGAGTCTAGTCCGGTGGAGACTGATTTTAAACACCTGCGGCCCAGAATGTCCAGGTACAGATCCTAATCAGTAGCTTCCCAGGTTTTACCTGAATCGACCACTGGAAGGACGATCAAATAAGACAAGAATTTCCCTGTTCATACAGGCAGCGAGACAAACTGCTTGATTTAATGATTACCTGGCGCCTTTTTGACTCGCCGCCATTGTGCGCAGCACAGCCTTGCACCTATTGTCAGTGCTGGCCTGCATTCTCTCTTGCAATATTACTTAAGACGAAATGAAGAATAAAACAAAAGTATACTATGCATCATTATTATTAAAAACTAAATTGTGACTAGAGCTGACTTCTGGAACATTCAGATGTTTTTCCACTGAAGTCAGACAGATG